CTATTTCTTCAGAGAAAAAAATCCAAATAGTAGTTTATCTTAATTTTTTTTCCATAGGTAATATATGCACATAATACAGGATTTGAGGTGTACCGTGAAAAATAAGATTCTCCCATCTTGGTCTCATAGACCACCCAGATACCATTCCTCCTCCTCCCTCTGTTATCAGTTTCTTGTATCTTTCCAGGAATAATTTATGAATTTACAACTGTGTGTCTGTGTATGTGTGTTTGTTTGTTTGTTTGTTTATTTTTGAGACGGAGTCTTGCTTTGTCGCCCAGACTAGAATGCACTGGTGCAATCTCAGCTCACTGCAACCTCCACCTCTCGGGTTCAAGCAATTCTCCTGCCTCAGCCCCCTGAGTAGCTGGGATTACAGGTGCCTGACACTGTGCCCTGCTAATTTTTGTATTTTTAGTAGAGATGGTGTTTCACCATCTTGGTCAGGTTCTTCTTGAACTCCTGACCTTGTCATCCACCTGCCTTAGCCTCCCAAAGTGCTGGTATTACAGGCGTGAGCCACCACACCTGGCCAATATGTATGTTTTAATAAATAACAGCAAATTATTCTCCCATTCTATACCTTGCATTCATTCATTGAACAATTTATCTTGGAGACCATCTCATGAGCCTCCTCATTTGTTAAAAAAAAAAGAAAAAATTTATTTAGGTCATTCACATATCATACAAATCACCAATTTAAAGTGTATGATTCTACAAATCACAGTGCTGCTGTTATTCATGTTAAAATAAAGTATGATTCAGTGGTTATTTATTTTTTTTAATACAATCAGGGTTGTACAGCCATCACAGTATAATTTTAGATCAATTTTTTATCCCCTAAAAGAAACCGAATACCCTTTAGCAGTTAGTCACTATTCCTTTCCTACATGCCCTGGCCATAGGCAACCACTAATCTACTTTCTGTTTATGGGTTTACCTATTCTGGACATTTCATATACTTGGAATCATACAATATGTAGTCTTTTGTGATTAGCTTTTTTAGTTTTTTTTTTTTTTTTTGAGATGGAGTCTTGCTCTGTTACCCAGGGTGGAGTGCAGTGGGGAGACCTCAGCTCACTGCAACCTCCACCTCCTGGCTTCAAGAAATTCTTGTACCTCGGCCTCCTAAAGGATTACACACCCTCTGCCTGGCTAGTTTTTGCATTTTTTTGGTAGAGATGGGTTTCACCTTATTGGCCAGGCTGGTCTTGAACTCAAGTTTTCCTTTCTGTAGGATGAATATCTAGGAGTACACTGTTTTCCCTGGGGAGCTGGAGGGGTATTTCATTTACTGTTCTTGGTTTTAGTATAATTTACATACAATAAAATGCACAGATCTTAAATGTTCAGTGGGAGGAGTTCGACAGTTGTATAAACCTGTGTATTGCCACCCACTCAAATGTGTTAACAGTTTTAAAATCCTACCATATCAAGGAATAGTTTAGGAAACTAAGGGTAATGTTAGTCTGGCATTGGGTGTCTGGTTATCATCGTTTTTTTTTTTTTTTTTTTTTTTTTTTTTTTTTTTTTTT